TGGCTGTGGGAGAATGGACACAACACCTTGCAGAACACTGTTTATGACTGGGTTTACATTGGCCAAATTTCAGACACACAGTTTGAAAAGCTGGGAGGAGGAATATTCCATAGGTCATTCAGAGGAATGTGTGGGGGTTTTTCTCATGGGATTTCAGATGCAAACTCGCTGCTCTGAAATAGTCTTGGAGGGCCTGGCCTTTCTCCGTGGGCTGCAGAGGGAGCACAGAAGATGAGCCTCGCTGGACTAAACCTGCCACGAGCACTTTCCTGGAGAAAGGATGTTCTACCACAACACTATGCCTCAGGTCCACTGCTTTAGGGGAAATTAGCCAGTTTTAATGTTAGCCCATGGAGCAACTGGTAGCTCTAAATGACCCAAAGAAAACCAGTTGGTTTAATGTGAGACTTTTCAATAAAGTATTGTAAAATTTTCTTCTTTTTTCAGGATGCAGATTTTTTGTTTTAAATTATGTGGCCTCTTACTGTGTTTTAATCTACTTTGAAATTGATACTATTGGAAGGAGCAAACATTACTGAAAACATTGTATACATCACTTAAATAATGCACAACAGGTAATTCCTAGAGCAATGGCAGATGAGTCACAGGATGGAAGATTACCTTCACTATCAAAAAGAAAGGATACCAAAATATGATAGTTTGCCATTAATCTTCAGAAAAGGAGACCAATTAAATGAATCCTAAAGTTAAAAGAAAAAATGTTACTAGAAGAAATAGCTATTAGAATAAGTTAAAACTTAAGGAAACATGAATATCAGTGAACAAAAGGATGCTAGGTAAGCAAGTACTAAATCAATATGGCTGAAATTAGTTTCTTTTAAATGCTGTTTACCAAAAATTACCAAAAACCGCACAATTTATAAATTTTATCCAGTACAAACAAAGGCAATCACTGATACTTGGTGTGTACAAGATTACATGGTCTGGAATGTGAAGAGCAAATAATTTACATAATCTGAGTTGGTTTTACATGTACCTCAGAAATGCAAAGCCTCAATAAACTGATTTGTCTCTAAATTGATTTGTCTTTTGTGTGCTGAGCAGCAGTTCCCACAACATGGCATTCTGAGTTGCTATTCAGCTTCCCAGAGTCTGGTCCAAGTGTCATTTCTTGTCCCTCCCCACAAATGAGGCAGCAAAGTTTGCACAACCTGCACTGCAGCCATTTGAAGCCAAACAGGTGCTCTGCAATTCCTAGCAGAGCTTCTTTCCATGCTGCTTGGCTTCTGTTCAAGGAGCTGATTTCTCCTCAAGAGGTCCTTGTAGAGATATCCCTGGTGGCTTTCAGAAGTGGAAGAAGATGATAGTTCCTGCCAGCTGTGCCAAGGGGCTTCTTGTGCAGCAAAACTCCTCAGTGGGGGGCACTGTCTGGGGATAAATAGTCTCTCTCTGCCACCTCACAACCTTGGTGTTGTCCTTGTTTATTTCAGTCTCACTGTAGTTCCTGTCATTATGGAAACGCTGCACGAAAATGTTGCTGGATAATAGCTGGTCAAAATAGTTTGTCCTGTCCAAGCTGATGCTGCAGGCCCTGGCTTTCCATCTACCCGAGGCATGTGTCTGACCCAGAACTGAAATACTGTGTCACAGCTTCCAGCTTTGCCAGCATCAGACTCCATCCAAACCACACACAGTGGCTGTTCCTGCAGCTGAGTATGGACCTGCTAAAAGGGGGGAATGTCAACACACACGTGGCTCCACTGATACCTCTGTGGGGGGAAACTGGAAGGGAAGACTGGGATGGGGAGGATCATGTTGGATCCCCTTATATCTTCCCTAGCATAGTGAACTGTTTGCTGGCCAAGCCTTTTTATTCATGGCTGGGCTCCTTTGTCTTCATGTTAGGAATTGTGCTTATTGTGAAGGGTTGTGGGATTTTGTCAGGAAAGTTGGTGGAAGCACAGCCAAGAGGATGGTCAATGAACAGTAACAGCCAGTTACACACAGCACATGCTTGGTAAAAGTTGTTGGGAACTTTGCTTCCCAGGTTCAGGTCCTTTCTCCTTAGATTCCTGAGGGCTTGGAAGTACAATGTCTCTTCACTGAATACACTACTAAGAAACTAACACAGCGATTAAATTATTAAAAGCACGTAGAAATATCAAACTAAAGTAAAAACAGTTATTTCTAAAAGCATGGTTAACAAATATTATTTCAACAACAAGAATTTAAATCCTTTCCCATTGTCTTGAGGCCAAGTGTTAACAGTCCCATGAGATCCTGACGTAAAGCACATGCCAGCAGTTGTGGCATGTTTTAACACCCTTAAGAAACAGAATCATGGAATCATTAAGGTTGGAAAAGACTTCTAAGTTCATCACATCCAATTGCTAATCCAGCACTGCCATCTTCACCACTCAAGCATGTCCCCAAGTGCCACAATTAATGAAGGTTAGAGGAACTGGAATACTTTAACTATATATCTGATGTGCTAACCAGCACATCAGACCAAGACTGTCCTAGTTCACATTAAAGCCAAGCTACTCCATCCTTGTCAGTACTTCTTGTCAGGGGGACTAGATACCATAACCAAGATGCTTTCCATGTAACCAGTCACTCCTTCCTTGCCTTACAGCCCTCAGTTAGGAATTCCTAACTCTTACGGTTAGGAATGGGCCACACCAAGTTCTTACACCAGCTCTCTCCCTCTGCTGCAGTCTTTCTTTTGCAGCTCTTGCATTACTGCATACAGTCTTGCAATCCCCTTCCCTACTGTCCTGATCCTGCTCCCATACACAGCATACACAAGCATGCCCATACCCAGAGCTGATCCCAGACTGATCTTCATTTTTCCATGATCCCTGGCACATGTCCCTGCTCCATAGTTACCGTGTACATCAGGGCCACAGGTCGCTGCTTCATTCCTCTGGTGTGATACCCAGATGAACACATACACGCACATTCCCACACATACAGTCTTGGTCATTTGGCCAGGGTGTCCCCTCCCTGTTAGCTGTTCTGAGGATCACAGAGTGGTTTGGGTTGGAAGGGACTTAAAGATCATTCCGTTTCAACCCCTCTGCCATGGGCAGGGAGACCTTCCACTAGATGAGGTTGCTCATGGCTCCATCATGTCAGGCCTTGAACTCTTCCAGGGATGGGGCTGTAAAAGGCTCACAGGCTTCTGAATTCCTGATCGCTGTCCTTAGTACTTATCTCACTAGCAGATGAGGGTGAGAGGAAATAGCCTTAAGTTGCACCAGGAATGTTCAGATTAGATATTAGAGCAAAACTTTTTTTCACTCAAAAAGTAGTCCGGCATTGGAATAAGTTGCCCAGGGAGGTGGTGGGGTCACTGTCTCTGGAAGTGTTCGAGGAGAGTCTGGATGTGGCACCTGGGGATATGGTTTAGGGGTGATTATGATGGTGCCGGATTGACAATTGTTATATTGAAGGTCTCTTCCAACCTCGATGATTCTGTGATTCTGTGAACAGGCAAGGCGACAGCAACTGCCCCTGTAGTGCAAAGACAATCTCCCTGCCACTGCTCACTGCATCAGCTCCAGGGGCTCACAGGGACTATGAGGCACCAGCCACCCCAGTCCTGTTGTGTCCAGGCCTTTTTCAGGGCACTCTTCTGAGCTGTTCCAGCCTCACCCCTCATGGATGCTGTGTGTACCCTATGGAAGCTGTCTTTTCCCTATGGATGCTGTCCGTTCCGTTTCCCTCGGCTCGGGCAGCCCCTCCCGCTGCCGCCAGGTGGCACCGGAGCGCCGCGGGAGCTGCCTGGGAGCCGGGGACGCGCTCCTGGTGCGAACACCCTCTGGCTCGGCAGGGAGATGGGATTTTGGCCATGGCGCGACCCCGGCATCCTACCCACAGCAGTGCCAGAGTAAGGCTGAAGACTTCAGGCTCTCCGGAGGCTGAACCCCGCAAGGCAGCGCCGGCGGCGGTGCCCGCCCGAGGTCGCCGTGTGGCGGCAGCTGTCCGGCGCTGACCGCCGTTCAGGAAAATAAATAAATCAGCCAATAAAACAAATAGCAGTAAGTAATTTGTAAGTTCTCTTTGCGGCACCCAACAGGCTGTTTGAGCAGTGTAAGTGCTCAGCCAGCAGGAGCAGGCAGCAGCGCGGCCGCGCCCGGGGACGAGAGCCCGGGGCTGTCCCCACCGCCTTCCTGCCCGGCACCGACCCGCGGAAAGAGCAGAACCTGGAGGTTTAAGAGCAGGTTTTGTGCCTGGAGGAGGATGTCGCCCCGAGATGGCCCCACCGGTGCGAACAGAGGGAAGCGGAGGGCGGCGGGCCCCGAGGTGCACGGCGAAGGATGCAATGGGAAGAATGGGCCAGCAGGCCGAGGGAGGGGATCCTCCCCCAGGACATCTGGAGTGCTCTGTCCCCTTCTGGGCTCCTCAGTACAAGAAAGACAAGTTGCTACTGCAGAGGGTCCAGTGAAGGGCCAGAAGGATGATTAAGGATCTCGAGCATCTCTCTTATGAGGAGAGACTCCAGGAGCCGGGCCTGTTTAGTCTAGAGAAGACTGAGTGGAAATCTCGTCAATGCATTTAAATATCTCCAAGGCAGGTGCCAAGGGGATGGTGCCAGGCAATGACAGGACGAGGAGCAATGGCCGTAAACTAAAACACCAGAAGTTTCACCTCAACACGAGGAAGAACTTTCCTTTGAGAGTGGGCAGAGCACTGGAATAGGCTGCCCAGGCAGGTCACAGAGTCTCCCTCTGTGGAGAGATTCCAAACCCACCTGGAGGCGTCCTGTGTCACCTGCTCTAGGTGACCGTGCTTTGGCAAGGGGGTTTGGACCGGATGATCCTCAGAGGTCCCTTCCGTCGCTAACCGTTCTGTGATGCAATGAAGCGCTCCGGCACCCCGGGAAGGAGGCGGTGGCGGGCGCTGGGGCCGCCCCTCTCCCGCCCACTGCGGCCCGCCCAGGGCCCGCCCGGGGCCGGCTCCGCAGCGGCGGCCGGAGCTGCAGCCGCCGCCCGCCCGTCGCAGCGCCGGCGCTGCCGCGGTGCCCGGCAGGGAAGATGGCGCCGTCCCACGTCCTCAAGTGCTGCCAGAAGGTGCTGGCCTGGGTGCCCGTGGCCTTCATCGCCCTGGTCGTGGCCTGGTCCTACTACGCCTACGTGGTGGAGCTGTGTGTGTGTGAGTGGACCGGGAGGGTCGCGGGCGCCGGGAGCTGCGGCCGGGCGGGCAGGACCCTCCGCCCGCCGCCTCCTCCCCTGCGCCCCGGCGGGCTCGCTTCGCCCTGCGCCCGCCTCAGGCTTTCGCTCAGGCGGCGGAAACCCTGAACCCTGCCTCGGGCTCTCCCTCGCTCCCTTCGGGCCGGGCTTACCTGTTGTCCTCCCGCCCTCAGGTGCCTCATGGCGACGGGGTCCCGGCCCGAGGCCGCCTGTGGATTCGCGGGGAACGGGTTCGGGGCACAGGAGGAGGCCCAGGGTGCTTCGTCTGGGGACGGGGACTTCTCGAGGGCTCAGCCCCCCGTGTCTCCTCGTGAGGAGCTACCCCTCTGTTTTGCTGTTGTTCATCCATCTGATGTGTCAAGTAACTCCTTAAGTGTGTGTAGAGGGTTCCCCTCCCTTTTTTTCATTCAGAAGCCCAGTGCATTGAAGCATTATGAGGCTGGGAACATCCAACTTAAGCGGGCTGGGGAAAGGATTTAGGGCTTACAGGGTTTTGTCAGGCCGAATCCAGGCTTTCTGGACGAGGACTCGTCTTTATATAAATCTGACTTGTAGCCGGTGTCGATCAGGGAGATATTTACCCTTTACTGTCTTCGGGGGGAAAGTTCAGTTCAGGAGGATGTTGGCTTTCTCTGGGCAAGGTAAATGGAGGGGAACTGTGATGTGCAGTGTTTATCAGACTTGCTGAAACTTGGAAGCAGCGTAGGAAAGCTAAGGAACAGGTTATTGAGCATTTGGTGTGTTTAAGTAAGGAAGCTGAAATGAAGAAGAACCTTAAAAGTACTAAGAACTATTTTAAGCTAAATATAGGTCTGTCTAGTATCTGTAGGCCCTGGTACTACTTGATATTTGTGTAAACTACGTGTTTTGATATCCCTAGCTAGAAAAAAATTTTGCATGTACTTTATATCTGGGTAAACTGGTATAGACAGCCTTCCATTAGCAATAATCAATTCAGCTTTTTCTGCGATGACTTAGTATTTTGGATAACTTTTCTGTATGCTGGTGTTATTTGGCAGCCTTTTCTAGACCTGGACCAGAACATGAACCACTGGCAAAAATGGTATTTGAACTTTAAATAGTAGAGATACAGCTGTAAAATAATGCTTGTTGAGGTACTGTGTGAAATGCTGACATGAGATAGTTGCAAATATATCAGTGTATCCAAACTTGACAAATTACTATTGTTCAGTTTATGTGAATAAATCGGTTTTCTGGGAGATCTTGCTTAAAACTGTAAACATTTGAAAACAAATTTGAGTCAGTCTACTGGAGGTCTGGGGCATTGGTAGCTGTAACAGTAGTCCTGAAAGGGACTTCATGAGGTTATAGACTCACATTTTACAAGTTTTCTCTACTCACTACAGTCTAATTAGTATGACAAAAGGCAGATTAGGGCTATTCTTAAACAAAGAACAAAAACTCGGGGATTAAGAGACTTGCCTAGGGTCACACAGGTGGTCTCTGCTTGAATTGGGAACAGAGCCTAAAGCTCTGAGTTCTAGCTTTGTGTCTTGATCACAGAGTGGGTCAGGACTAGGTGCTGGTGAATGGTTTCTCTATTGTGGACATAGAGAAGCTGCAAAGAGGTCTTCTGAGTTCATTAAGGTTTAGTTTGTGTGAAAATTATTGAGAGGATTGGCTCCTGTTGATGCGAAAGCTTTTGCGTCTCTAGGTCTGGTTTCTAGAAGCACTTCTTGCTCACAAATCAGCTCTATTATGCAGGCTTTTAAGAAAAAGCGTCATTTAATAAGCAAAATATGTACTGACTTCTGTCGCTGTCACTGAATTTTTCAATTGTTACTTATCTAAATCATGCTTTACGACCAAGGATTTTATTTGTCTTGTGAGTTGTTTTCTGTTGTGAGTTTGGAGGTTTTTGTTGTTTATTTTTAATCTGTTGAATTTCGTTTACACTCTTGAGAAATAGTCATCTCACCAAGGGAGACGGAAGAGATTTTGTGTTTGGGTCTTCTTGGCGTTGTGGGTTTTTTCCTTTGTGTGTTTTTACTCTGCGGTTGAGTTCAAACCAGGATTGAGAGGATTTATAGCAAAATACAGGATTTTCTGTTTGTCTTGGCAGGTTTGTTTTCTTTCTGATGGTGCTGTGTCTGTTCTATTTGTTTTGGGAACGACAGCACTGTGTACTACGAGGAAAAGCAAGGATATTCCTCCAGCACACAGCTAATGAATGGGGCAACGCTGGCCTTTGCCGATGTTCACACGGGGCGAGCGCAGAAGCAGGGCTTATGGCTTTGGTAAGAGGCTGATGTGTGCCTCGTAAAGGAACGAGAGATGGAGGAAAGGAAACTTTAGAAAAGAGGAGACACAATAGAAAATTTCAAGTGAATACTAGGTAAAAGGAAAATTGAAGCCCTACAGACACCAGTGGTTTTTCAAACTTTGTTCTTAAAAAATCAAGATGTGATGCTAACAAGAAAACAGGAAGAGGGAAAGCCTTTATTTCCCCAGTTATTACTTCTTCCTGGTTTTGCTTCTTTTCCTTGTAGTCCTTGGTCATTTATTAAAGATTGAAGATGTGTTCAGTTAGTAGATCAAGTGGGAAGCCAGGCTTAGTGTAGTATCATAAAGCAGAAGATGGTAAAGTTGGGGCTGCTTCTCTCGTCACCTCACCCTTTTCCTTTCAGTTTTGCTTCTCTGTGCTGCTTGCCCCACCCTCCTCTGATGGGGTGTTCACGTATTGCTCAATGTCTTTTGGTGTCTGATGGACTCAGGCTTCTCTGTAATTCACTCCCAGTATGTATTTACTGGGTTATGCCTCTTCTATAACCCTAAATTATATTACTTACACGCTAGCTGTGAATACCAAGGAGTACTGGCATGGATAAGATGAAAGGAGACTCATGAGCTTGTCTGTTGTTTTTCTTCCATGGGAACTGCCAGCATCGTTCTGTCTCTCTGAAGATGTTGAGCACTGGCTTGTTTAGACCACTGTTGCTGTGTAGTTGTGATCCATCAAGTAAATTAGCTATTGAGCTAATTGGAAAGGTGAAAACAGCCAAATGTGTAAGTTGAGGGAATATCAGCAGAGTGTAAAAATTCAGTGAACGTGTTTAGCTAAAGGTGCTGCAAAAGACTCAAGGTGAGGTCTCATTCAGAGGGCTTGAAGTGTTTTAAACTAGAAAAATCTGAATGAACACTTTCTTACTAGATTATTCCTTCTTTTCACACATAACTTGACCAGAGCTCTGTTTACAAGAAAACACACCTAGCACTACATAAAGGATGTTGGAAAATGGCTTTTTGTTAGTTTAAAACCGTTTAATGTGTTCCATCCTGTTATCAAAACATGTTTTGCTTTTAACATTGCTTTTGTAAACAATGGCTATATTATGCTGCTGCTGAATTGGACTGATTGTGTTTGCTTAGCACATCCCTCAGATGCTGGGGAAGAGCGAAGCACTTCTCTCGTGGTTTGCTTTCATTTGTGGCTGACTTGGATCTTATTATCTATCCCAAGCATTTTTGTAGGTGCTGGTCTGCAATGCAGACTGGTTAGAGGGTGATCACACAAGACACTATTTTGTCACACAGTCGGAGTTGGTGGGGAAGTCGGCTCATTTCTTACAGGCAACCTTTTTGCTGTAACACTTGTAGGCTTTGGTAGTGCAGTCTTGCACTCAGAAAAAGAGGAGGAAGCTAACTTTGAGTCGTCTGCAGCTCCTAACTAAAGTGTAGTGACTGGTGTTATTAAAAAAGAAAGAAAACTAAAAATCCTGATCAGATTAGCATTTTACTTCTATACTGAAGACTACTTTCTGAAAATCACAGTCCTGACTCTTCTGAGCCAGGAGTTTTCAGAATAATGACATGTTTAACATATTTAGTAGGCTTGTGAATGAATGAGTGTTTTCATGCCGCAGGGTCTGCAAAGTATGGAAAACTGTGATTTTGAAAGCTATGGGCGTAAGTAGTTGTGTGTTCTTTTCATAGCATCTAGTTGCAGAAGGTTTGCTTTTTTTTGATACAATGTATTGTCTAGGGTGTCTGAAATCCTGGCAAACAAAGCAGTTTGTAATTTAGAATTAATAACTTCGTGTTAGTAGTACAAATTATACTCGTTGCTCTTCCAGAGGACTGCAATGCCTCTTGTCAGTAGGGAGCTAGCTCTGATTTCCCCAAAGCACGGCCCTTATGAGAAGCACGTGGTGATCTGTTGTAATGTTCCCATCTGAAGAGTCTGTTGCATAAACAGAGAGAAGGTAATTCCATCTGCCTCCTCCAAAAGAAATCTCTACTGAAAATGCTAATGCAATATCTCTCAAGCAATGGCAAGGTGATGCCAACAGCAGTTCTGATTTCAAACTGCAGAAAATCCTAAAGTATCAGCACTGAGGTACAACATTTGCATATTAAACATGTAAAAGGCATTCCTGTAGGAAGAGGGTTTCCTGTCAAGAAAAGGAAAGCAGATTAGACTGGTTAGATCATTAGTTAGTTAACTATGTTTATGTGCCTCTCATTAATTTAAAAATACAGAAATGTAACCACTCTGCATACACTTAATTTTGTTATAATCTCTCAGCATAAGCATGCATATTATCATCTTAAATGAGAACCTTTTCTGTTATTATAAATAGAATTCCTGTTGAGGTGCACAGACTGGCTACAGATTATTGGAAAACTAAGTGCTCAGCTGAGGAAAAAGATTATCTTCTATGGTGCCTTGCACTGTGTTGGTCATACTAATTTATAGGGACAGGTGGGCATATGCCTTTTATATGAAAATACAATCTGCTTTCTTGGCAGTCCTCTAATGAAAAAATCGTTCCAAGCTCAACAGCCTGGTTTCTTGAGGAGTTATCTGGTGTCTGCTCTTTCTTCTGTCATCAGAAGGGCTCCATCCCTCTTCTCCCTCCCAGCCCTCGATCTGCATTGCCCGCCCCAGCCCCTGCATCTGCTAAACCATTCCTGACAGCTCTGCAGTAGTTGGCATCTTTC